CCGCAGCCTAGGTGCCATCCCCGCTCCCGATCAACACGGCTGCCCCACCCCCACCTTCCAGCCGCCACCCCGCGGGCCTCTCCCCCTCACGCTGCCCGGGGAGGCCGCTGTCTCTGGCTGCGCCACTCGCTCGCGCTCCCTCACCCGACGCAGCAGCCCCAGCCGCGGCGCAGGCGGAGGGTGAGGAAAGGAGGGAGGGGAGGAGGGGAGCTGGAACCGCCCCCCCTCCCGTCCAATTCGCTCCCGTCCGGCCCTCGCTGCGCGCGGAGGGGAGATGGGAACTGTAGTCTCCTCTCAGACCAATGGGCCCTTGGTAGCAATGATCCCTGTAGGAGAAAAGACTACAACTCCCAATACGCCCCAGAAGCAGCGCGAAGGTCGGCCGCCATTTTGTAAAGCGCTCAAGGTAGAGTCATAGAGATGGGTGTCTGAGGCAAACTTATTTATTTTGTCCCCCTTTTTCTGTCCTTGCTTCTCCCTCCCTCTCACGAACACAGCAGCCTTACAAGCGCGCAACGTGACGCCAGGAGTTAAGGAGTAGGAGGAAGGGTGGGGGAGCGAAGAGTTAACGTGATTCCCGTCAGCCCCCGCGCGCTCCCAAATTAGAGTCAGAGACGGCGGAATACAGAGGGGAGGAGCAAATCTCGCGAGATTTCCTTCCTTAAAAACAAAAAAGCCGACTTTACTCGCGTTGTTCTACGTAATTTGGAGGGATTCTGGGAAATACGGTTTAGCTAATCTCTTTGGGCCATAGTAGTAACGGAGGTTTCTTAGCAGCGGAACTACAACTTCTAGGAGAAATTGCGTGGTTGGAGGATGTAGGCGCCGGAGAAATGGAAGCCCCCATCAGTGGAAGATGCTCCCAGAGAGATTTCGCCGCGGAGCCCAATGGGAAATGTTAATTAAAACAAAAAATCCTCCGTAGCATTGCAAAAAGGAGGGGGGAATGAGTGGGGAGTTTACGGCTTTTATTTTCCCAGCTTGCAGACATCTGCCATTTTGTTAGCCCAGCACACTTTGTTTTTCAGTTCGGTGGGATTGGATTTAAAAACCATTAAAGGGCTTCGTTACCAAGAACGTGCTCCAAAAAAACTCCTTTACCGATGCTCTCTGGGAAATGTAGCTTTCGTCTAGTGAGGGGGAAATGGGGCGGGGGGGTCAAAGAATACTACAGCTTCTCCTTTTTACTGTGTCTCAGGCCAACCTTGAGCAGCATATTGATGCCTCCTATTCCACGGTCGGTGCTAGCGGGGCGGTCCAAAACAAGCACTGTCTTTACCCCAAAGGAAGACTGAACCTGTATGTATTTGGACCTCCTTAAAACAAATCATATAGAAAAAGCATATTACCTGTAACATATGCAAATTTAAGTTGGTCCTCTTATGTCTGGAACACCCATTAGGGTTGCCAACCCCCAGGTGGGATCTGAAGATCGTTCCCCTGGACAAAATGGCTGCTTTGGGGGCTGGACTTACTGATATTATACCCTGCTGAGATCCCTCCCTCATACCTGCCTTCCACCAAAATCTCCAGAAATTTCCAGACCAGAGCCAACAACCCTACTGCATACAAGGGTCATTTCCTGCAGGAGCGGAGCTCCAGCAGTAAGGAGCCCAGGAGGTGGGTACATGCAACAAGCTCCGCCCACTGCTCCCAGCAGCCCTCAAGTCGGCCACGAGGAGCAAGAAGCAGCCAGGTAAATTGCAGAGCCCCCCTCCCCGCCTTCAGGCGTGGAAATTGGGGGCCGCCCCCCCCCCGCCTTCAGGTACAAGCTCTCCCTCCTCTGTGCGGGCAGATCACCCCATAGCTAGCAATCCAAAACAGTCCAGTGGCACCTTTAAGACCAAGTTTTATTCAGGTACAAGCTCGCTCTCCTCTGTGAGGACAGATCTGCACGTTCCCCCCCCCCAATAGCTAGCAATCCAAAACAGTCCAGTGAAGCCTGAGTGGTGGGTGTTGCCTTTTGACACACTTCCGGTGATGTCAGGAGATGTGGCCAAGGCTCCCTCTAAGCTGTGGAGTCCTGTGAGCAAAAATTCTACTTGGTGAGCTCCTGGCTGCTGCATGAATTAGTTTGCTCTGAAGCCCTCCTTCCTGAGCTAAGACAAAAATCTGTGAGCCGGAGGCTAAAAAACTGTGAGCTACCTCACACTAACTCAGCTTAGAGGGAACACTGGATGTGGCACATGCAAACATTATGCTAATGAGCTCCTGCACCTCTTTTTCTAGAAAATGACCCCTGTAAGTGTGCACATATGTTAATTCTCACCACAGTATGTTAATGCAAACTTGCAGTTTATTGGGACAAATCTTTGTAGCTTAAACATTTCACAGAGAAGTTGCTGTCTGGCCAAATCCTAAAACCAGTTCAAAGACAGATGTGGATACTATTGACCAAACCACAGAAGAATGTAGGAACTCCATTATTAAATCAGACCAAGAGTGGTCAGTCAGATAGCTGTTAATGTTGTAGTAGTCGTCCACCGCTGTTTGTTCCTGGCATCTGGCACACAGACGTATGGGGGTGGGAAGTGCTTTCAAAGCAAGAGATATTCACAGGTGGGTCGCCATTGCCTGGCTCCGTGTAGCAACCCTGGACTTCCTTAGTCTCCCATCCAAATACTAAACAGGGCTGACCCTGCTTAGCTTGTCTGATCTGATGGGGTCCGACTAGCCTGGGCCATCCAGAACAGGGTGCACAGAGGTGTACTGCCTCTGATACCGGGCATTCCATGTTGCTTATGTGGCTGTTGAAAGTCTATCATATGACCATATAAAGTAATCTAATTAGTTAGTTTCTCCTAGCATGTTTTTAACCCAAGAAATACTGTCTTGGCTTTTAAACCAGAACTATTGCAGGGTATAGGAACAAAGTACACGGAAGGAACAGCAGAGCCTGTTGCAATGTCCAATAGGATGAGGAGATTCTGGCAGCATTTTTCATGAGACAGGAGATGTTATTTATTATTTATTTATTACATTAGATTTGCTAGGCCACCCTTCCTTACAAGTAGGGCTCAGGGCAGTTTACAACAAAATAATATACAAATCTCAGATTAAAACTAAGTCAAAACAGCCCAATTAAATACTGATACATAAAAACAGCATACACGAGATGGCACAAATGCAGCATATATGATGCCGGAAAGGATTCCAACTCTCCAGCCTCCCTAGGGGGAGGGGTTACAAGGGACTGCCCTTAAACACAGCTCAGCATCTTCCGTCATTTCAGAATTCAGTGGCTTGACTGTTCACCAAAGCAAATTGCTCCTTGTCCACTCTCATTGGCTTCCACCACCCATACCAAAAATGTGAGAAATCTCAATGGGCACATTATGAAAATTGCATAAGACTGAATTAATCATCACAGTGTTCTCAATGTGGGTCGTTTCCAGTAAGCACTTCACCTTTGCTCTTCTCATGCCAGATGCACCTGAGGAAAAAGATAAAGGGGGGGGGGAATGGAATGCCTGAGATGTAACAGGGAAAGCTGGAGGCTTTGGCTATTATTCGGACAGAGAAGCGGCTGCGATAGCAGCTTTAAAATTCTTAAGCTTGGGGAGGAACAGCAATGTGTGAAACCTGGCAGGGAGTTCAGTTTTTATTTCAGCTTCTCCAGTCTAGCAACAGGGCTTATTCAGAGTTCAGCAAGCTCCATTTGCCATTGCTTTGTGAGGATTATAGTCTTACTGCATAAATGGTTAGGCTTGTATGTGCATACATTACCTGAGGCTAAACTACATCATGGGGATTCTAGACCAAAATGATATGTAGATTGGAAAGCACGGGAAGGTTCACATGCAAATCTGGGCTTCTTTACTGTTAGTCTTTAAGGTGCCACCGGATTCTTTGCTGCTGCTACAGGCAGACTGACACGGCTACCCATCTTCATCTTACTGCAGTGCCTGTTTTCATAACATCTACATGATGGCATCTCTTCATCCTGCTTCTGTGATTTCCCCGCCTTCCCAAACCTGCTCTGGTATGATCTTTTTTGAAAGACTGTAGTCAAACCACCTCTGGATGCCACAGGGATAGAAAGGTGTGCAATTCTGCAAATTCCGCACACATAGGTGCCATTTTCCTTACTTCACATCCCATAGCCACCATTTCCTTCCCCATTGGAGAGTTATCTTTATTTAATTTCTGTATCTATAGTCTGCCTTTCTCACTGAGACTCAAAGTAGATTAACATAATGTAGGTCAGTAACAAAGAGCCATCTGATAACTATAGTAAGGTTGATACAGTCAATAAGAGGAGGCATCTAATGAGGAATGTACTAGGGCTAGGACAGTGATGGCGAACATTTTAGAGACCGAGTGCCCAAACTGCGACCCAAAACCCACTTATTTATCGCAAAGTGCCAACACAGCAATTTAACCTGAATACTGAGGTTCTACTTTAGAAAAAACAACTCATACATTAACTTAAGATGATGCAAACAAAGTAAGGAAAGCAATCCCAAATGCTTTCATTTACTTAAAATTATTTGGCAGAGAATTTGACACTTTAATGATGGTCTGGGCCTGGTTGGGGCGATGGCACGCGTGCCCATAGAGAGGGCTCTGAGTGCCACCTCTGGCACCCATGCCATTGGTTCGCCACCACCGGTCTAGGATAACCAAAATGTGAATGAGCATAGTGTATTAGGCATGAGTCTGGATATCTGGAAGAAAAATGGTATTTCATCTGCAGAAAAGACAACAGGCTTTGGGGGGCTTTTAAAAATGGTAATTGATATATCACTACCCTTTCAACAATGTACTGTTTCCTAGCTTTCATTGTTCTTTAAAAAAAAAACAGTCTCTAACTGTTTCTGTTGTGCAAGCTGTGCCAGGATCAGAAGAAACTTCTGAA